AATTGGCAAAATGTTTATTTTTGCTGGTAAACATAGTGGTGATTAGTCCCTAGAGGTTCTTTTCATAGCAAAACGGTGTTTGCTGTATATGTTAAACAACTCTGTTTTTATATGTCAGCCATGCATTACAAAGGATATGAAAATGTGTGCTAGTAAACACATTTCCTTTCTCAGGTATGATGGCTGCCAGTTTGGATTTTGGATAAATTATACTGGCAAGAGAAATGGTTTTTGGCATCAAGGCCAGAGATGCTTCCTATTTAAAACCCCTTTTGGTTGGGAACTTGTTGTGTGTCCATAAAGCAAGTCTACTTTGGGCATAATGTACCTAGAGGGTATGTTGTGAGATTAAACCAGCAATGAGGAAAGTTTGGCCCCCTTGGTCTTTTAGCCTACAAAGCCTACAACTCTCATCAATGCTAGCCAGAGTGGCCAAGAGTAAGAGACTGATCCCTGGAGTAAACATTGTGTGTTTCTTGGAAAAAGTTAAATTACAATTTTTTAAATCTGATTTATTTATTAAAGTATTTATTTCTGTGCCACCCTTTAGTCACACTCTCTAAGCAGTTTACATTACTATTTCATTCACTTCTAAAACAAAGATCATGCATTTGAGAGGAACATTCTGATCCATACCACTAGAGATTACATCTGTAAACTACTACTTTTGAGCTGACTCTGCTTCCCCCATTTTTGATTTTGCTTTATACAAGGAAACTCGACTTGTGTATCTGTCCATGAATTTGGGGACTTTTATGTTTCTTCTGGGAGGCAGTGGAAGACAAGGGGGGCTGGCGTGCTCTGGTCCATGGGGTCACGAAGAGTTGGACGCAACTAAACGACTAAACAACAACAACATGTTTCTTCTGCAGCACTTCCAGCTTTGTAATAATGCCCAGGTGGTTGAATATCACTGCATAGTTGAACGCTAGTCTCTGTTTCAGATATAATAGCAGTCTAATAAAGGTGTCACTCATCCTTGCCTTTGGAATACGTGCAAGAACCACATCACTTTTTTTTTTTACTACAGAAAGTATTTCAGATATCCTGGTCTAAGGCTACATTGAATTGACTGTGGAAATGAATTGTGGTCAGTGCTGCAAGTGTCATGACCAATATGATATGTCACAACAGTGTATGTGTTACAATAACATTTATCAGATAGTGCTCTGACTTCTGCATTCTGCTCCAGCTGCAATGCCAAGCATTCTTCAAAGGCAACACTTTATGCAGCATGTTATTGTCGGTCCAGGTAACTAGGACATTTATCCTTTTGGGCAGATCTGTCTTTTCCAGAAAACATCACGACTTGAAGCTTGGGAAAGGCATTCTTAGCCATAGCCACCTCATGGCCATCCAGGTGTACCTATAAGCAACATACTTAGTCTTTCAGAGAATTATATCCAGAACTGTAAGATTTCTGCTCCCAGGTCAAACCATCTGCAGTACAATTCTGCCAAATCCCCACCCTAACTGATGGTTTCCAATGCTGCTGAGGGCACAGTGATGGTATCATGGTGCTGAGAGGTTCCCACAGAAAAGAGATTCATCCCCCTGGTGTTCTCCAGTTTTCAGCATGGTTGATGGTATACATAAAGTTCTGTGTGCATTGAATTGATGTGGAACATCACAACAGCATCACAAGCACAGGCCATTTGTACTTGTTTATTCATTCATTTAAAACAATCATACCCTACCTTTCTCCTCAAGAGGAAACAGGCAGTTTACAATATTTAAAACAAATAATATAAAAACTGTAAGTGGAGGGGGAAGCAAACAATAAGAGAAAACAGGAGCTCAATGCTCAGGCAACCAGTCCAAATGAAAAAAGCCTGGCTGCCTACAAAATGACAGCAAAGAGAGGGCCAGCCTGGCCTCCCATGGGAGAGAGCTTGGGAACAGCAACAGAGAAGACCCATGAGGGTGGCAGGCAGAAAGGAAGGCTCATAAAGAGAAATGCAATCTTTCAGGTAGTATGGCCCCGAGTCATCTAGGCCTTTATCAAGTCAGGAACAATTCAAACTGGGTACAGTTTTGAATTGTACCCAGAATGGACCCTCAGCCAAATGTTTAATTTGGTTTCTTTCCTGGTTTGATTAGTATTTCACACAGTTGAAAATTAGATAAGAAATTGAATTACTTAACTGATAAAATGAACTTAATAAAGCTTTTGCGCTTTCGCTGGATTATAGACCATAGTCTTTGTCTTGATGCACCTTGGCTACAGTTTCCACCTCAAGTCTCTTGGCAGCAGCACCTTGAGGTGCTAAATATGTCATTTAATACAATTCTAGATACACCGGAGTCTGATTTATCACAATAGGATCCTGGAGAATAATTTCTTAGAAGCATCTACTGGGTTGCTACAGGGAGATATTGTTGAAGAAAAGGGATCTGGTTCAACAGCAATATTCCTACATCCTGAAGACACTCTTTATTAGATTGTGGTTGGAATTCTCGTGGCATAAAACTACACTGCACAAGCTGTGAGATAAGTGTTTAATTTAATTATAGTAAAAACTTCCTGTCCCCCTTTATGTTCCAAGGTTGCCTAAGGATTTTTTTGCCTTTGGAAGCCTTGGGATAGGGGGGCGGGGTGGGGAGGAGCTGTTAATACTGGAAAATCGCTGCCAGTAGTCCTGCCACCACATTGGGGCTGCCAGTGGTGATCAATTTTCTAATATTGAAGGCTTCCCTCTATGTCCTGAGATATGTCCAAAGGCTTCCCAGGGACAAAGAGACTCTCTAGGAACCCTTGAAACCTGAAGTGGAGAAATGGCAAGTTTATTTATTTATTTATTTAAGTGAAATATTTTCCTTGCTAGATAAGGATGTTATCTGGGTTGCATGGTGTAAATTTATGCCAACAGGATTTCAGCCAATGACCCCTCTCTTTATGTTGAATCTAACTGCAGCTAATTCATGTATGCAGGTGCTCATACATTACACAACATTTATATTGTTGAACTTCATAATGTGCATGGAGGATTGCTTCTTTATCGTGGCCCAGTTCATATGCCACAATCCTAGTTTTATAAGAATGGCTTTGCATGAACCTTGAGCTCATGGACTTTCCAGTAACTAATTATGTGTGACAGAAAGAGGCAGAAAGCTTCTCGTGTGGAGCTAATCATACTTCCCCATTACGTCTGAAGGTGAAATGGTTTGTTCTAACTTGTCAGTTAAAATAGTTCTAACTTTCATAGAATTATAGAATAGTGAAATTGGAAGGGGCTTATAAGGCCATCAAGTCCCATCCCCTGCTCGATGCAGGAATACAAATCAAAGGATATCTGTGAGGTGGTTGTCTAAGTTTCTCTTGAATGCCTCCAGTGTTGGAGCACTCACCACCCCTCGAGATTACTGGTTCCACTGTCTTACTCGATCTAACAGTTAGGAAGTTTTTCCTGGTATTCAACTGAAATCTGGCTCCTGTGACTTGAGACCATTGTTGCATGTCCTGCGCTCTGGAAGGATCCAAGAACAGATCCTGCCCCTCCTCTGTATGACAGCCTTTCAAGTATTTGAAAAGTGTTATCATATCACCCCTCTGTCTTCTTTTCTCAAGGCTAAACATGCAAGGCTAAACTTAATTGCTTAATTTTTTAAAAAAGCATTCTAACTATGAGGAAAGGCTGAACGAACTTGGCATGTTTAGGCATGAGAAGAATGAAGGGAAATATTATAGCGCTCTTCAAAGACTTGGAAAGCAGAACACTTTGAAAGGTTGTCTTATAGGGGAGGGGCAGGAACTGTTTCAGTCATCCCAAAGTGCTGGGCACGTAATAATGAGTTCAGGTTATAGGAAGCTGGATTTCAACTGAATGCTGGGAAAAACTGCCTGACTTTTAGAGCAGTATGACAATGGAACATATTACCTTGGGAGTCAGTGAGTGCTCCAGCCCCGGAGATGCTCAAGAGAAAGTTAGATAGCCGTCTGTCAGATATACCTTGATTTGGACTCCCACAGTGAGCAGGGGGTTGGATACGGAGGCCTTAGAATAACTCCATTATTCTATGATTCTATAAAGCGCCCTGATAGTTTCAAGACTAAAAGGTTATTATTTAGCATAAGCCATTGTGAACTGCAGCCTACTTCTTCACATGCATCTGAGGTCAGTCCACAAAACGTTATGCCAGATGAAACTCAGTGGTCTTAAAGGTGCCACAGGACACTTTGTTGTTTCTGCTGCAACAAACTAACAGGGATACCTCCTTGAAAAAACATTAAAGCCTAGTTATATAGGTTCATATTTATAATGACAAATCCTGGTTTCTCAGTAGGTCTGAAGAGACACATTACCATTGATCTCTTTCTTAATCTATGTGGTAACACACCGCTTCTTTCATTTTAAGGTTATGATTGGGAATTACAGTGTTTGAGGCACCTGCTTTATGGGGAAAGTGTGGAGCTCTACCATTGATCACTTTCTTAATCTATGTGGTAACACACTGCTTCTTTCATTTTAAGGGTATGATTGGGAATTACAGTGTTTGAGGCACACTTAAAGAGAAAGTAATGTTTTTCAAACATAACATTTCTGATATTGGTGCAGATGCCAAGAATAAAGAAAGAGAGAGAGAGAGCAAAACAATTAGAAACTAAATAGTGTGAAACTGATCTCTGATTTATGCTTGCAACTTCATGAAGTTCAGTGTTGGATTGTTCCTTCTTAAAATGGAGTTGCTGCCAAAGAAAATACTTTGAAGATGTGTCAGTTTAATACTTAAGTGCACCTGAGGTGAGTCAGCTGTGCACCTCCTCCAATTTTCCCCCCAGTGTTTTAGAAACTGAATTTTAACAAGTGCTTGGTTTGTAAAAGTCATATTTTATTTTAAGAAAATGAATATTTCACTTCTAACCACAGTTCCAAAGGTCTTATACAAGTCTGACAAAGCAAACAGTGTTGGTTTGTTGAATAGTTAACTTTAAGGAAGTGTACGTTTTAAAGGACTGGTGTTTTCATGAACAACCCACAATGCCTCTATTATTTTCTTAGGTGAAGCTGCTCTAAGAGGAGAGTCCAGGATGCAGTCTCTCCCTGTATCCGCTGCTGTAACCAACCATAGGACGGGGCCACCGCCTATCAGTCCTTGCAAGAGGAAGTTCAGCATGGACCAAGGAGATGATGACCTAGACTGTGAAAATGAACATGTCTCAAAAATGAGTCGCGTGTTCAGTCCCCCTCTGTAAGTTCTACACCTTTTCCTTTTATATTTTTTCCTGTTGCTTTTCACTAATGTAATCTATGCCTATGGTGTTTAATAAAGCATTTAGTATATTGGCTTTAAAAAAATTAAAACGGTTTTGGGGTGTTGTAAAATGACAGTCTGATAATATGTCATAGATATGTAATGCAGAATGAAGCAAAAAAGTTACAGTCTAGAGCTGTCACCAAAAATGGTGATTTCATGTTGAATTGTTTTCCCACTGTCTAATGTTATGACGGGCTGGATGTTTCTCTGCTGCTCAGGGATATTGGGCAAGGAATGCTCAGTGTCAAGATGATATTTCATCATAAGGTATTGCAACAAGCAATGGAGTTGGAGAATAAGAACATAGTTTACAGCAACTGCCCCATAACTTTTGGTAACATTAGTTCAAGTAATGCCTGAAAAGTTTATCTTCATGTTCTAATTACACTGTTAGAGCCAATTTATTTCTAACTGTATCTGTTTCATCAAAAGTTTTGATCAGCTTGATATGAAATTGAACACAAGCATAAATCCTGTTAACAACATTGAACTTTTTCCTTTTGCAGCTTTAGCTCTACTTGTTTCTGGTAAAAAAGATAAATGCTTAAGTATGTTTAAAAATACTGTTCTTATTTGCTATGACCTACCCCGTCAGTAGTCTTCTATGAGTTAAGCCTCCCTACCCTGAGGGGGGGGGAAGAGACATTTGTTTGGTGTTTTTTTTTTAAGGAAATTTTTTGGAACAGCTGTACCAACAGCTGGTTAGGCTACAGTTGTTGCTAAACACTAGTACTGTAATATGCTTCTGTTTTCACATGCCAATAGGGGATTGTACTGTGCAGGTACAATACGGGTTTTGCTGGTAAAGAGTTTCCATCCACTTTGTGTTCTCATTCCTAGGAATGCAGTTCTTGTTGCCATGAAGTAGAAGCTGAGAGAATTCCTTTCATTCCTGCCTAGAGGAAGTGATTGGAGTGTTTCACTCAGAGCCAAGAAGCCCTCCACATTCCATGCATTCCACTCAGCTTTGGGTTGTTGTGTTCAGTCATAAGATGTGAAGAGAGGTATTTTATCCTTGGATAAATTAGAGGAGTGTGAGTCAGAAGTCTGCAGACCTGGAATTTGTTACAAATAAGAGCTCTGGTACTAGAGTAATACAGACTCACAAACAGTATCTTCTTTCCCTTTTCAACAAGAAGTTGTGGCTCCCTATTAACTGTTTAAAGTCATTCTGAAGTGAGATTTGTGACCCTTGGAAGAAAAACATAACTGTGTTTTTCTGTTTCAGCAGCCATGTACCATGTAGGAAAAATTATGGCCTGTTTAAATAATTACATCACTTGGGGAACAATGAGAACATGAGATTTCCAAATTCACCAAATAATGGAAATAAAATACATTTATTAATTATGAGAAGTATTCCATTTAATTCAGACAATTGAGATTTAAAGTACTATAGGCATGTGAGACCTTCAGATTTCCTTCTGAGAAGCAATAAAATATTTCTTTTCTTTTTCTCAGAAAAAAGGGAAAAAAAAAGAAAAGAAAGTCCCAATACCTTAATTTTACGATAGATTCATAAATTAAATTCTGTAAGCTAGGCAATATATACAGTGGACATTGAAATATTTTCATGTAAGCATAATAGGAGAAGCAGAAAATGGAAAGAGGATTCATTGCTCCATTGCTGTGAATGATTGCTTTGATCTCTTTCAGATAACATGTAGAAATACTGTGAAGTATACGAAAGACTTTTAAAGTGAATAGCAATTAGGAAATGCTAGAGATGTGAGAAATAAGATACCATACCAGAAAACTGTATTCAAAAGTATTATGTTTGGCAGCTTCCTCATGGTGTAAATGTCTATGTCCTTTGTTTTACTAAGAGATGTCAACATAAATTTATTGGTAAGGAGTAGGGAAGAACCCATCTACCAGCTGTCACTTTGATTTTGCATCCTTTTAAAGATGCACCTGGTTTATTTTCGATTGGCTTTTGTTTTCAGTGGAAAATGCGTAGATATGGCTCTGCAAGTATAACACTAATGAAGTCTTGTACCTTTAGACAGAGGTCTCAGGGCTGACCTATGTTGTGTGGGTTTCTTGTTTGTCAGGCTGGAGATATTTTCTCATTTTCACAGTTCAGCTGAAAACAAAGGCCTCCTTATCCTTGCAGGGAGCTCATAAGAGCTGACATCAGCCTTTTCCCAGCAGGCATTATTTTTGCCTTAAGAGTCCTTGCTTGCCGAGAGCCCAGAATGCTTGATAATTTCTCATTCTTTGCCAAGTTAACAAATAAAATGAGCAAATCCAAAAAGTATCATAGAACTAAGAAAGTAGGAGAAAAGTACCAACTCTGCTTATATTTTTTTAAAAACTTAAGAGTATGTAAATATACTCTACATCTGTGGCACTACATCTGTGGAAGCTGCTATAGTGATCTCATGAGGTTTTAGTTATGCAGCTGGTCACACATTCTCAGATCACTGGAGTACCTTCTGCAGTTGAATAAAGGTTGAACATGATACTGGAGTCCTTGGCACTTATGTCTTCAGATACAATTTGTAGTTGTGTGTTGTTATGCAAAGATCTAATGCAAGTTTGGATGTGGGTGGGTGAGAGTATGATGAGTATAAAATAGTTGTTTAGTAAAGCAGTGGAGCGTGGTGGCGCGGCAGGTTAAACCGCAGAAGCCTCTGTGCTGCAAGGTTGGAAGACCAGCAGTTGTAAGATCGAATCGACGCGATGGTGTGAGCTCCCGTCACTTGTCCCAGCTCCTGTCAACCTAGTAGTTCGAAAGCATGCAAATGCAAGTAGATAAGTAGGTACCACCACGGTGGGAAGGTAACAGTGTTCCATGTCTAGTCACGCTGGCCACGTGACCACGGAAACTCTCTACGGACAAATGCTGGCTCTACAGCTAGGAGATGGGGATGAGCACAGCGTCCTAGAGTCAGACATGACTGGACTAAATGTCAAGGGGAACCTTTACGTTTACCTTACCTAAAGACCCTTATATTAATTGCCCTGCTCATGTCTTGCAAACCAAGAATTGGCTTTCTTTACTGAGTCAATGTATCTTACATTCTTTTCTTATTGCCTACTCTTTTTCTGGGATAGTTAGTGTGGCATACAGGGAAACTGTCTATGGACAAACGCTGGCTCTATGGCTTGGAAACGGGGATGGGCACCACCCCCTAGAGTTGGACATGACTGGACCAAATATCAAGGGGCACCGTTACCTTTAATTTAAGGCACCTTCTCCCCAGTGATGCCCATTTTCTGTACTTAAATTTTTGTCCTGCTTAGTGCATGAACAACTAATCTGCAAATATGGCTGCATGAATTTGGATTTATTATCTTTGGCCTGTTACATGGCGAGTCACTTTGGTTACTACGGGATCATTTTCATCAAATGTACAAAAACAACACAATTCAAACTTTGTATGTATGACTGAGTAGTTTGATGGATGATGGAATGGAAGGATCATGTGTGATGGGCTATGTGGTAGGCTTGGCCTGCTATGTAAGTAAGTAAGTAAGTAAATAAAGATTTTGGAATAACTTACTTAGCAATTGTGATCGCTAAGTAAGCTCCTTTCTTCTCAGCTCTTACTGTAGGACCCATCTTGAACAGACACAGACCTGCGTTCCACATTCACAGGGAAAGACAAGGTTTGCTAACCTACCGTATTTGCCGGCACACAAGGCGACCGGCCGTATAAGACGACCCCTCCCCAACAGGAGGAGGAAGAAGAGGGGAAACGGGTGGGTGGCGAGCAAGCGGCATGGCAGTGAGAGGGCGAGGAAGAGCGGAAGAGGGTGATTGGGCGGCGGCAGGAGGAGAAGGAGGAAAAGGAAAAGGGAAACGGGCGGGTGGTGGGGGAGTGAGCCCAAGCCAGACCACCTTTTTGCAGAGGCCACTCTTTTATTCGCCCCCGTGCGCGCTCCTCTGGCGGGCGAGCCCCAGGACTCTCAGCTGGGCTCCCCTACCCCCCCGGAGGAAGCCTCTCCCGGGGGGATTGGTCGGCCACGCAGCTGCTTCATCACCTCCGCCAGCATCTGGTTGCAGAGGGCAGAGTAAGGGTTCATCTGGACCAGCTGCTGGTGGGCGAAGGGGCTGCCGAGGTGGGCCGCTTGCTCAGAGTCCCTCCTGGCCTCCTCCTCCCGACCTCTCAGCCACTGGATCAAGCCGCGCTGCACGACCCCTTGGCGGGCCACCGGGCCGCTCTCCTGGCAGTCGCTTTCCCGGGAGACGGGGGGGTTTCAGAGGAAGCCGGGAGGTCCAGCACTGCTGTGGGGGTGTAGCTCTGGGACCTGGGCGGAGCTGGCTCAGCGGCGCGCGGCGGCGGGCAGCTCAGGCATGGCAGGCTGTGCTTCCCTCCCTCCATCCAGACCGACTGCCTGCCTGCCTTCCTCCCCGGCCAGTGTGGCCCCGCGTCATTCAGGCATCTGGCGTACAAGACGACCCCCCCCTTGGAGGCATGTTTTTTGGACCCAAAAAGTCATCTTGTACGCCGGCAAATACGGTATTGTGCACATTGTTAGCTTCCATTATCCTGCTGAGCAGCTGAGAACTTGGGTGCATCCCCAATTATGTTGGGGGAAAGACTCTGCAATCATGTCAGTGATGCAGATCTTCCCTATATAGAACAATGCTATCTTCTTCCAGGAGAATGGTATCCTAGGGAGCTTGCAGTGTTCGCCATCCTCAGGAGTGGTCCTTGAGGCAGGAAGGGGAAGAGACAGCACTGCCTAATTGCATCTGATGCCAGGATGTGTAAGTTGTACACAATGAACTAATATATGGAGAAGAAGAGTTCAAGCTTATTACTCAAATAGTATGGGTCCCAAGAAGCAATACAGTACTGTCTTTTCATTGGCAACCACAGACAAGAGGTTTTGCATTCCTCCCCCCCCACCCCAATCTATCTTGTAGTTTTCTGGTTTGAGCATCTGAGGCTGAGACTAAAATTAGTAGAGTGGAGGCTGCA